TCCCACTGTCGCCAAAGTGCTTGCTCATAGGGGGTCATATGATTGTTGGGTTTTTCTCTGTACCTATGAAGCGCCTTGAGGCGACTTTTGTTGTGATTTGGCGCTATATAAATAAAATTGAATTGAATTGAATTAATAAAATGGATCACTTTATAGTCCAGTAAAATAAGCCCTATAATAGTTATTTCTAACATATTTTTCTTGGAGTGTTCAATAGTAGCTTTGCATGATTAAAAAACGTTTTTTCTTATATTCATCCTTGGTGCAACACCTCGCTCCTTCTGTCATTCTATTAGTGCATTCCTGAATAATTTTAGAGTTAGGGGACAATCGCTTTTTCACACAGGGCCAATTATGTTTCAATTTCTTTCTCCTTAATCATAAACACCTTCATCTAGAAACGTTTGTGTTTACTTATGTTATCTTTGTCTAATATTTAAATTTGCTTAATAATCACATTTAAGTGTGACAAAAATATAGGAAATCAGGAAAGGGGCAAACACTTTTTCACAACACAGTAACATTAATACTATAAATGTGGCCAGGTTTGTACTCTAAGGAGCTTGGAAAGAAAAGCGTCTGGACTTCTTTAAGTTGCTTGAAGATGTTTCAACTCTCATCCAAGAAACTTCTTCCGTTCTAGGGCAGAACGGAAGAAGCTTCTCGGATGAGAGGTGAAACGTCTTCAAGTAACTTAAAGAAGTCCAGACGCTTTTCTTTCCAAGCTCCTTAGACTACAATGACCTGGATCACTGAGAACCTTCACAGACCAGGTTTGTACTGTTGTATTTTTGTTTTCTTGTTATGAAATGATTTATGATCAATTAAGGCACATGCCCATTCTCATCTGTCCTTTTCTTCTATGAATGTCAACCCAGCATTTTGGGCTAATGTGGTTTTAAAGTTCAAGTCAATATGAGAGAGTTAAATTACAGTGAAGGACAGTAACGTTTAACCCTTGACTTGAGGTTATCCTCTTACAGAGCATACTCAATCAATGAGCCTGCCACACACACAAATCAAATTTCCTTGGTGAAAGTTAAAATCCTGTCATACTTCAAATTAGTCTGATGCTTGTCTAATAAGCAATGTGGCATAGATACATGATGAAGAAAATCAATCATGTATAACATCACACCGAGCCAGAGAATTGAGAGATTTGTCAGCTAATTTCATGCTAATTGAGTCCCCATCCCTGGGGTTATTTTTAACCTCATCATGGGTCTGACCACATGCAATAGCAAGTACTTCGCTTATTTGTCATTAATTAGAGTAAAAACATCAATCACGATTCTTCTTTCTACCCTCAGTACCTGCCAGGATCACTAACATATCAAAGGACGTCACGGTGAATGAAGGCAGCAACGTCAATCTTATGTGCCTGGCAGTTGGTCGACCTGATGCAAACATAATTTGGAAGCATCATTCACCAAGGGGTAAGCCATGGTTTATTTTTATTTTATTGTTCAGCTGATTTCTGTGTGTAAATCCTGTGATAGAGTACCCCGTAGCAGAACCTTTTGGATTCCAGTTGAGTTGTAAACTCATGGTGGCATAAAAAATTATTTTGTTATTATTTTGAATCATGAATTTGTTACTACACTTTTCTTTTGTCCAAAACTAGAAAATTTATATTGATCTCTATTAACATTAAAGTTGCCAAAGTTCATTTAAAAGTTTCTCAAAACAAATATGTGAAGCAACTCATTACCTCAGTGTAAAGGTGTCTAAACCAACTCCCCAGACACTCAGATACACTTGAGATTCCCACACAACACTCCCAATTCTTGTTTCACATGAATTTTCTTCTATATGTAGAACAGCTATTTATCTCTAGATGGAAATTAATCTGTAGCTGTTTTTATTAACGTACACTTTCCACAACAGGGTTTAAGATAGGCCGCAACCCTTTCTTCTTTTCAAAGTGGTGGATTTAAGGAGATGAAACTGCACAGTCTGTGGCCTGACAAGAATGAACTCCAATCAAAGTATTACTTGGCTAGAGGCCACAGCTCATTTTTTGATTGTTTGGCTTGTTTGGATTGTTGGCTCCTCACAGCAAAATACCACCTAAGATGCTCTGTGTGCCACTACGTATGTGTATCTTTGTGTGTTTTATGTTCTAATTGCGCTTCCAACTGTGCTTTCAGCAGTGTATGTTATGTGCTGCTTCTCTATAGGATCAGATGTTAAGCCTCCAACATAACATGAATGCTTACAGCCAAGCTGTTGCTCTTTCTTTTACAGTTGTCTAGAGCCAGCAAAACCTGGTTTCCACACCGTAGGAACCCTTCACCACCTCAGTCATTCAGTGTTTCTGCCTCCCTGCATTTACTGGTTTCCTTAGTGTTTAAAAATGCCATAAAAATAGTCTTAAGTCATATTCAGTTCAATCCAGTTTAATTTGTATAACACCAAATCACAACTACAGTTGCCCTAAGGCAATTAAATTAAATCAGTTAATCCCTATTAGAATAACTACAGTGTGGACTGGTGTGATTAACACAGACTGCATATTCAATTCAGTTTTAAGTTTTAAGAAATACAAATTATGTTGCATTTCAAAACATATCTTTTATTTTATCAAGAGGAAATTAAAGGAAATAGTAAGTAAAATGTAAATATAAAAAGTCACTCTGTTATGTGATTTGAAACTCCCCCCATATCAGAAAGAAACTCTTTACAACCCACTGTGAGCTGGTGCACAGTTGCAAGAATAGTGGTAAATAGAATTAGAAGTAATAAACTGGCATCAACAGCCAGTCAACCTGGTATATTGCCTTTATGCTTGTGCGTGTATGTGCTCTAGTCAGTGGGGAAAGTAATGGATTATCTTACTTGACGTTTCTCTGACTAGCACTAAAGAAAAGAAATACTATGTGGGGAGATCTTTGGGCAGCCAAAGAAATTGTTGCTGGCACTCAGAATCTTAAATGTTTTTCCTGCAGAGTAGCATTTCAGACTCGCTTATTACCATTTGCTTTTCATGTTTGTCACTAGTGATAATGAACCATTCCCTCAAAGGATAGTGTTGGTGCTTGTTTGCTCACTTCATTGCCAAACTGTGTTTTTCAAGATTTAAGCTGCTTGAATGTCTCAACTGTCTTAAATCTGCAATGTTGTCTTGCACTTTATATTACTTATATAACTGGCATAAAATGTTCACTCTCAAATAGTGTCAGCAACATAAACGATTGTAACTTTGCATAGAAGGTGCTGCAACTTCACTGTGAATAAGAAAAGAATGTTTGGCAAATGTTACTTATTTTGACCTTAAAATTTCACAAGAAACTGTTTCAAGTGAATTACTGTAAAATTACCGTGTATGTGGAGTACATGAAACACTACATGTACTAAGTCTAATTTATACCACTGACACCTATTCTGAACAACTGTCACACATTTAACACTGTGCATGAAACTGAATTTAAAATTAAAATTCTTGAAGTTACAGTTTTAGAGTAAATGTAGTGCTATCTTGTCCAAATACATAAAATGGCATTGTTGTTAATACTCCTACATTGATTTATGTAAGCTAACTAGTGACAGAACATACAGTGGGGCAAAAAAGTATTTAGTCAGCCACCGATTGTGCAAGTTCCCCCACCTAAAATGATGACAGAGGTCAGTAATTTGCACCAGAGGTACACTTCAACTGTGAGAGACAGAATGTGAAAAAAAAAATCCATGAATCCACATGGTAGGATTTGTAAAGAATTTATTCGTAAATCAGGGTGGAAAATAAGTATTTGGTCAATAACAAAAATACAACTCAATACTTTGTAACATAACCTTTGTTGGCAATAACAGAGGTCAAACGTTTACTATAGGTCTTTACCAGGTTTGCACACACAGTAGCTGGTATTTTGGCCCATTCCTCCATGCAGATCTTCTCGAGAGCAGTGATGTTTTGGGGCTGTCGCCGAGCAACACGGACTTTCAACTCCCGCCACAGATTTTCTATGGGGTTGAGGTCTGGAGACTGGCTAGGCCACTCCAGGACTTTCAAATGCTTCTTACGGAGCCACTCCTTTGTTGCCCGGGCGGTGTGTTTTGGATCATTGTCATGTTGGAAGACCCAGCCTCGTTTCATCTTCAAAGTTCTCACTGATGGAAGGAGGTTTTGGCTCAAAATCTCACGATACATGGCCCCATTCATTCTGTCCTTAACACGGATCAGTCGTCCTGTCCCCTTGGCAGAAAAACAGCCCCATAGCATGATGTTTCCACCCCCATGCTTCACAGTAGGTATGGTGTTCTTGGGATGCAACTCAGTATTCTTCTTCCTCCAAACACGACGAGTTGAGTTTATACCAAAAAGTTCTACTTTGGTTTCATCTGACCACATGACATTCTCCCAATCCTCTGCTGTATCATCCATGTGCTCTCTGGCAAACTTCAGACGGGCCTGGACATGCACTGGCTTCAGCAGCGGAACACGTCTGGCACTGCGGGATTTGATTCCCTGCCGTTGTAGTGTGTTACTGATGGTGACCTTTGTTACTTTGGTCCCAGCTCTCTGCAGGTCATTCACCAGGTCCCCCCGTGTGGTTCTGGGATCTTTGCTCACCGTTCTCATGATCATTTTGACCCCACGGGATGAGATCTTGCGTGGAGCCCCAGATCGAGGGAGATTATCAGTGGTCTTGTATGTCTTCCATTTTCTGATGATTGCTCCCACAGTTGATTTTTTCACACCAAGCTGCTTGCCTATTGTAGATTCACTCTTCCCAGTCTGGTGCAGGTCTACAATACTTTTCCTGGTGTCCTTCGAAAGCTCTTTGGTCTTGGCCATGGCGGAGTTTGGAGTCTGACTGTTTGAGGCTGTGGACAGGTGTCTTTTATACAGATGATGAGTTCAAACAGGTGCCATTCATACAGGTAACGAGTGGGGGACAGAAAAGCTTCTTACAGAAGACGTTACAGGTCTGTGAGAGCCAGAGATTTTCCTTGTTTGAGGTGACCAAATACTTATTTTCCACCCTAATTTACGAATAAATTCTTTACAAATCCTACCATGTGAATTCATGGATTTTGTTTTCACATTCTGTCTCTCACAGTTGAAGTGTACCTCTGGTGCAAATTAAATCATTTTAAGTGGGGGAACTTGCACAATCGGTGGCTGACTAAATACTTTTTTGCCCCACTGTACATACATACATACATAACAATAGAGACAGAAACAAACAAAAAAAGCAGGTCTAAAGGGTGAATTTTGTATTTTTTTCCTGGCTGTAGCAATGAGTTTTATCTTTAAAAAGACAAGGGAAGAATAGCCAATTTGATGCTTTTGATGCCTCTGCCCTTAACCCTTGGATGCACAACCTACCTACACTCTTCCACGAGTGTGGAAGAGTGCAGAGGACTCCCAAAAAACACACCGAATGGTACATACCAGTTCACTTCCTGCAAGAATGGTTAATCAAATGAAGGCCATGAGCTTATGTTAGATTGCATTTTTCCACTCGTTTCCCCTGTCTCTGGCTACTCTTCGTGCCTCTATGTTTGTGCATGTCAGCACCTCCTCTATTATATTATCAGACATGAACATCTTCCATGCATCTATTGGGGAGATAGTACTAATCCCAGGTGCAAGCCCTGGCCAACTATTCAGAATATTGAGCAGGAAGAGGGGCTCATTCTGTTAGACACAATATCCATTTCCTCTTTAGAGGACTCCTCTGTGTCTCACTGGCCTTATTCAGTGGTGTAGTCTGGGTCCTCTATATCTAAGATGTCAGATTCTGAGTCAATGCCTCTGATGGGCTCTTCATCCCCTCCGTCCTGGATCATTTGTAGGGCAAGGTCCACAAGGATCCTAGCTGGCCTCATAGTAGCCATGTTACTTTAGATATTAAAAATAAACATCAGAAAGGACAATGTTTGAAATGCACAGAAAAGTATAAATCGTTTGTTACTGTCTAAAAATAAATTCCTGATCCATCAGATGTGTAAGTGGGACACTCAGAGTTGCTAAGAATTAAAGGTTCATAGAAAATTCCATAGGAACTGCTTGGGGTCATTTTGATCCCACTTGTGGAAGAGTGGGGTAGTGATACAAAAACGGCATTTTTTTAAATTATTGAAAAAATAAATAAAATCGCAAATAGCCTCATGTTACAAACATATTTTATGAGGAATACCTTCAACATGAATATATTACAACTTTTCATTTTTAAGATTTTGAAGAAAAACAACCCATGGGGTCATTTTTGACCCCACGTGTGCATCTAAGGGTTAAGCTCTGAAAGCAGTTCCAGCATAAAGTCGCGAAAGTCAAGCCTTTCCTCCATTAAGAGACAAGAGGCTGTAGCAGAGCTGGCTGTCACACAAGCTGCACTAAAGGTCCTGCAGGAGATAGAATGTGAACAACAAGAACTTGAAAGCCTTGACGAAGAAGATAGAAAGAGGATTGCATTACAAGACGACGACGACA